TAGTCGACTGGCTGGTGGAGTCTGTTCGTGCCATTCCGGGGGTGCAGGAGGCAGGGGACCCCAACATGTCGTCACAGGGGGGCTCACACTTCTCCCCGTGCAACGCACAAGGGCATCCTTCCCCAGAGCTTGCTGGGTGGGGCTGCCCAGCGCCGCCTGGCAAGAGGGCGCATGTCTCCAAATGGTTATTCCCTGGCGGGCCAGGGCCATGTGGGCGTTTGCATGAGACAGAGGCCCCCTCGGGCCGAGATCTGTGACCTCCTCTCACTCCTCCGGGCACTACCATGCGGGGAGCCTGGGGCGGGCAGGGCTCAGGGGTGCGGGAATTGCAGGGGGGCTGGACACGAATAACCCAGAATGGAGAGCGAGACACGCTCCATCCAGCCTGCAGCCACAGGTGACGAGGAGCTTCCTGTGTCGGAACCCACAGCTGCAGCTAGAGTCGGCTGCAGGCGTCCTCAAGGAGGCTGTTCGAAGTTCTCAATTGCACGTATTGTTTTCAAGGTGTCTTCATTGTTTCTACCCCCAGCGCCACAGTGACAGCCCCGCGCCCAGCCCGGGGGGCTCCAGACCCACCCACAGAAGGAAGAAATGAAAAAGAACCCACGACAAATACGGGCACTGAATCACTGGCTCCAGTTATGCAAGTTTTTGAACAAAACCCAAATTCCTTCCCTCCCAGGCAGCACCCGGGCGAGCGTGGAACATTTAACGCAGCATCCAGCGAGGAAACTATTCCAGAGTAACTTAGTCATCAAAGTGCTGGAAAAAACATGTGCAAGAAAGGAGCGGTGGCTAGGATCTTGCCAGTTCCTGAGACTGTTTGTCCCTCCCAGCCTGATCCCTGGCTCTGTTACCGGGGAAAATGCCTCGATTTCAGGAGTAATCCATGGTGAGTCGGGCATGCGTTCTGCCCTGCACGCAGCGATTGGCTTGCCCTGCCCCTGGCGAGGGGAGAGGGGGACTGTGGGGGGCGCAGCTGGCCAGGTGGCGGAAGGAAGGACAATGCAGATGTGAAGAAAATTGGACCTTCCTGCAGATACCATGCACAGTTCTGCAGGAAGCCAGGCAGCCGGCTGGTGGGCCTGGCAGGCTCCCCTGGGGCTGGGCTGCCCTGCTCCCCCTGGGGTCATGCATTTTCCCACCCCTCCCACTTCGGCAGGGTGCTGGAACGCCAGGCTCCTAACTCCCTGGGTCCCAGCTTCCTCACCCACCCACGGAGCCAGGGTTCTCTCCTGCCATCAGCCCCCGAAGGAAGGGGCGCAGGAGCCAGGCTGGCAGCGGCACCACAGTGCTGCCGAATCAGCGTGTTCCCTTTCAGGGCACGGTCTGAGGCTCCGCGTTTTCGTTCCAAAAAAGAACAAAACAAAGCTCGGCTACTCGGCACTTCCTGTGGGAGGGGAACCCGCGCCCGGCCAGCTCGGCTCGGCCAGGAGCCTACCGTCCCAAACAGCCCTCTCTGCGCGTGAGTGCGAGCGCTTCCTTGCCGGGTCACGGGGGCCTTGGCAGCGGCTCTGCTGGCTTTTTATAGCCCTGTTTTGCCTTCTCCCGGTCTTCATGGATCCGCACCGAGTCCTGGGAGACGGGCTGTTTGTGTGGCGCTCGGCAGGCGCCAGGCGTTACGTAAGCGCGAAGGGCTCTGAGGAATGATTGGCCGGCCCGCTCTGCAGCTTTTGAAATTAGCTGTAGGCAAGTGTCCCCTTCCTTGTGTTCCGGGGCCTGGTACCTGTCCCCCCCC